CGTTGCTTGACCCACACCCAACAAAAGAAATTGTCATCCATTTATGCGTGGAATGTCCGCCTTGTCTCCGGATTATACAACGCACGTTACGTATTTCGCCGACGATGGTGCAAGGAAGTCACTGCGTCTGTCCTGGACGAGATGTAATGAACTCAGCGAGGAGAAGATGCGGCACCACCGCAAGCAACGCCGCATCCCCTGTCTGTAGCCCGAGGGAAACCTTCGGTAATGCCGTCGCGAAATTTCACCCTGCATTCCAATCAAACGCGAACGGCTGATGAACGTTGCGACGCCCGGACTCCACGCGAACGTCTTAGGTTCGATGATCCTGAAAGCCGGCGATCGGGAGGATGCGGCTGCTCCTGCTACTACGCCCGTGCAGCGTCGGCGGCTTTAAAACGTGCCCGGAGGAGCGAGTCCGCGGGCGGGTGGAACGGGAGGCTCATAGGGTCTCCAGGTTACCTAAAACCATTCATGGCGAGCGGCCGCCGCTGTTTCCGCACTTGTTCCCATATTTTACCAGCCATCTTCCCACCCGCCTTACCCGTAACTTATGTAGGGAAGACCACACGCCGTAAATACCTCTCAGTCAAGGATGATTTTCGGAAGGGAAAAGATACCAGTAAAGGAGAGAGGTTGCCTCTAAAACGTCATAAAATTTGAGTTCGCACCTTGGCCAAAATGTTTGGTTTGCGGTTTAACTGCCACGGCCAAGGCGCTCTGCCGAGGGAGGGAAAACCAGGTTTAAGTTCAAACTTTTAACTTCTTTACTGGACGTTGCTTCGGTTTTATTTCGCTTTTTCTTCTCCTTCGCTGAACGCAGGGGAAGCGCAATTAATCAGAAATAACTCGGTTGCCTTCAGAAACCAACGCGCGCGCGTGCACGCAGACACAAACACACACACACACACTCACTCACTCACTCACTCACTCACTCACTCACTCACTCACTCACTCACTCACTCACTCTCTCACTCTCTCACTCTCTCTCTCTCTCTCTCTCTCTCTCTCTCTCTCTCTCTCTCTCTCTCTCTCTCTCTCTCTCTCTCCCTCTCTCCCTCTCTCCCTCTCTCCCTCTCTCTCTCTCCCTCTCTCTCTCTACTCTCTCTCCCTCTCTCTCTCTACTCTCTCTCCCTCTCTCTCTCTACTCTCTCTCCCTCTCTCTCTCTACTCTCTCTCCCTCTCTCTCTCTACTTTCTCCCCCTCTCCCCCATTCCCCTCCCCCTTCCTCTCCATCTCCCTTTCCCAACCTCTCCATATCACTTGGGTCATTCGGCAAAACCCACGTGAGCCAGAGTGATAATGGTGCCGCCGGTGTTCTCGCTACAACACGCTGGAACCCACACCAACACTCGCTTACATGCTGGCCCGCGTCTCTCTCACTTTCAACCGTGATCACGTGTCCGATCTCCATGCTTTTATCTTGAACGACGGGGAAGGAAGGAAGGAAGGAAGGCAGATGAGGTGCGAGCTGGGTTATTCTTCTCTGTGTTTGTTTGATTTAAAGAGTTTTTTTTTAAGATAGTAAGGAGAGCAGACGAAGGTTTTAAAGCTGAGACGCATGTATACGTCTCTGTTTCCCGTGTAAGCATGCGCGCATGCACGCGCGCACGCACTCACACACACACACACACACACACACACACACACACACACACACACACACACACACACACACACACACACACACACACACACACACACACACACGCACACACACACACACGCACACACACACACACACACACACACACACACACACACACACACACACACACACACACACACACACACACACACACACACACACACACATGTAACGGATAATCACAGACAGACAGACAGACAGAGGGACAGACAGAGACACATAGACAGAGACAAACAGACAGGGAACGGAAATGAAAGAATGACTTGATTAAGCGCGTCCCTCTGATCGATCCCTGCAGCCCGGGATGGATTATGGCCTTTTCTATAGGGTTTTGTTCTTTAAGACTGGCTGTTATCGATTATTGCGGGCGCATTGTATCGTCATCGGCTCTGCCTCCGAATTATTCTTAATTGTTATTAATTGTTATTTTTCTTGGTGATGTAATCGAGAAGGTTTACGATTGTGGTGGTATTGTTTATGAGGTTTTATGTTTATATGGATTTTGGTTGATTATGTATTGCAGAACGGTGATAGTTATGGTGTGTTTTTTTGTTGTTGTTGATTATTGACAATTTGATTAGGAAGGATTAGGGAATGGTATATGCATGGTGATTAGGTTACTTCTGAGCTGTTATATATCTGGTGTCTTTGGTTAATGGTGTAGTTATGTCTTATTTATGATATGTTTGGTATATGATTTACCTTTTATTTCTGGACTGGTTACAGCACCTTTGTTCTTAACTAACGTGACCGGCATTGTGTATCATTGTAATGGTAGTGACTGTTTACCATTATCCACTACCAGTTCTAGTAACTTTACCTGTGACTAACAACGCCATTCTCTCTCCACAGGTAAGGACGGGGCTCGGGACACAGGTAGCGACGATACCACATCAGTACCTTTTGTGAGTACCTGGGGCAAGGTGGGCATACCTGCATATTCCTGACTGCCCTCTGCGGTGGCTTATAACGCAGGCGCACGTATGTCAGGCGATGCGCTGGAAAAAGGGGACATGATTAGATCTCAAGGTGAAAACATCAGCGAGGTTAAAGCGTGTCTAAGGAATGGTCTGATGTGTGTGTGTGTGTGTGTGGGTGTGAGTGGGTGGGTGTGTGGGTGTGTGCGCGTATGTGGGTGGTTGGGTGTGTGTGTGCGCATATTTGTGAGTGTGTATTATTACAAGAGTTTTTATTTGCTTGTTTTTTGCCGTTAGTATCACGCCAGAACAAGCGTATATCTATAAAGATATTGACACATTTCATAATGCAGCTTACGCTGTTGAAGGCAAAGAAATAAAAAGCATTTTCTTCCAGACGTAGAATTTTCGATTAATAGTTCACACGGATGATCGATTAGCTGGTCACGAATTACATTTTTTCTCTAATAACTTTCTTTTGGTGTAAAGTACACAAGCAAGCGGTTGTCTGCGCTTGTTTGTGTGCTTGGAGGCGTGTGCGCGTACTCCTCGTCTGTGCGTAGGTGTTTAACGCGTGTGCATTCGTGCGAGACGGGGAGAGGAGGGGGTCGGATGAGAAAGAGGGGGCGAAATGGGAAGAGGGGTCGGAGGGGAAGGGGGAAGGGGGAAGGGGGAAGGGGGGCAGGAGCCGACGGAATGCGAAAGAGGCGAGAGCGCTGGGCGTCGGGTTAAAGCAGCAGCAGCAGCCGCGGCCGCACCTGGGGGAGAGAAACAAGAGCCGGGCTTTTAAACGGCGTCTGGACGAGCGCATCTCTCGCCGCCGCCCTTGGTCGTCGGCTGTTACGTCAGCTAATGATTCGTTTTTATGGCCCCGTTCATGGCGTTGCCCTCGTTCCGTCAGTCACCCTGTTTGTTTGTTTGTTATCGTGCTTCCTTGCTCACTTCCGCCCTCTTCATCGCCCCCTTCGTCACGAGTGGCTTGTTTGCTTTTCTTCCGCGTGTTTCCTGCTTTATGGCATCATCGTCGTCGTCGCCATCTTCTTCTTGGTCATTATCACCGGCATCTTCACATTCGTCTTCATCTCCAGCGTCATTATTCTTGCCGTCATCCTCATCGTGACCAATAGTGAGGAGTCATCAGTGACCAGCCACTTATTACCATTCACTTGCCACCATCGATCATCATCACGGTCTGAAGAAAAAAAGGAAGAGCAGTTTCAGAAGTTATTTGGAAATAATCTCCAGAAAAGGAGAGAGAGAGAAAAAAAATGAAAACACAACAAGCGTTGTTTGTTTTAAAGCTCCCGGCCAGCGTTGGGTCTTGTGTTTTGGCGAGTCGCGGGGAACCAAGATCAGACTCCTTATATATACGTGTTATAGCGAGGAATCTTGCTTAGGGTTGGTCTCGAGTGGTTTTCGCGAGTACAGCTCGACTGAGCAGCTTGAAACTGCATGATTGTTCATCAGGAGTAAAGCAAAACTGACTAAACTCCAAGGTAAATTAACTAAAGTTTAGATAATAAAGAGGTGATAAGAAAATATCGGCATGGAAGCAGGTAGGAAGGAAGTGCAGAATAAGAATTGTATTTAACCTTTCTGATTTATATACTTCCGGTTGGTTTAGAATAAAAAATATATTTAATATATATATATATATATATATATATATATATATATATATATATATATATATATATATATATTAGAAACATTTTTGAGGTTTTTGGTTATATAGATATTCACATTGTGTATGGTAAAAAAACAACCACTGGGGTAATTATTGCTCACAAAACCTTGGGTTGTGAGAATCTGGTCATCGTGTGGCTATTGTTTCTCGTGTGCGTGCGTGCGTGCGTGTGTGTGTGTGTGTGTGTGTGTGTGTGTGTGTGTGTGTGTGTGTGTGTGTGTGTGTGTGTGTGTGTGTGTGTGTGTGTGTGCTTGGGCATGTGCGCGTGTGTGTGCGTGCGTGCGTGCGTGCGTGCTGGCACGCATGCGTACGTGCTTGTGTGTTTAAATGAACGTAAGAAGAGGAAGAGCGAGGGAGAGGGAGAGAAGGGTGCAGGGGGAGGGGCGAGTAGCGGTGGGGAGGGGGTGCAGGGACATGGGCAGGGTAAGTCGATGACCGAGAAGGCGAGATGGTTGTGCGAGGGTGTGGGAGAAGGTTTTGGAGGGGGTGGGGGGCGGGCAGTGGGCGGGAGGGGGAGCGCCTCGCGTCGGCGGCGTCGGGGAAGCGCCGCTGGTGGACGAAGCAAGCGGTCGAGGCTGCGGCGGCGGGGACAGGGCGAAAGCATGAATGAATGAAGGATATGTTTGTTTACGCAGGAGCGCTGGGACGAGGCTGGGGTAGTGACCTTGGCGGCACCCCTCCCCCACCCCCCTTTAGAATATTAGAACACATTGTATGTACAGATTCACAGGCAAACGCGCACACACTCACATAGGCTCGCTCAGAGAGAGAGAGAGAGAGAGAGAGAGAGAGAGAGAGAGAGAGAGAGAGAGAGAGAGAGAGAGAGAGAGAGAGAGAGAGAGAGAGAGAGAGAGAGTGAGTGAGTGAGTTAATGAGTGAGTGAGTGAGTGTAAGAGTAAGAGTAAGGCTGAGGATAGGCAAGAAAACAAACAGTGAGAGAGAGAGAGAGACAGAGACAGAAGGAGAGAAAAGAAGAGAAAAGAAAAGAAAGGAAGAGGACAGAAAAGAAAAGAAAAAGCGAACATAACAGAGCAGCGCAGACCAGGAGACGAGAGCGAGAGGAGGAGAACGAAGTGGTGTGAGCGAACGGCGCGGGTATTACCAACGATGGCGGCGGTGTTGGTGCCCCGGCGTCTTGGCCCGCTGCCAGATCCTGGGTACGCTGTCGCCCACTCGCCCTAATTGTTTTTCTGTTAATTGATTGATTCGGGAATTTTATTGTTGCTATCGATTCAATTCGGCCGCTTGAATTCGATTTTTTTTCGGGGGGGCTGGGGGGGTGAAGAGCTCTTACACATCTGTTTGTGCTGCTTTTCTCTCCGGTTGTTTGTTCGACGCGCGCGTGTGTGTGTATGTGTGTGTGTGCGTCGGGAGGGAGTGGGGTGGCGAGTGGAAGGAGGATGGGGGGGAAGGGGGAAGGGGGGAAGAAAGAGAAGAAGGGGTAATGGGGGGGGGGAGGGCGAGGGGGTTAGCGGGTGTCTAGGGCCGATGGACGCCGCCACCGCCACGTTGAAGGACAAGGTCAGCCCTCCCTAGTGTCGGCGTCCGCTGATCTTGCACCCGCCCTCCCCCCCTCCTCCCTCTCCCCTTATCCTATCCTCTCTTCCTCTCCATCTCCCCTCTTTCTAGCAGCTTAGCGGCCCCCCGTTTCACTCTTATTCACTCTGCTGTGACTGTGGTTCTGTACTAATCTCTCTCTCTCTCTCTCTCTCTCTCTCTCTCTCTCTCTCTCTCTCTCTCTCTCTCTCTCTCTCTCTCTCTCTCTCTCTCTCTCTCTCTCTCTCTCTCTCCATCACACCTACTACCCCTTATTTTCTTATTTTCTTCTCTTCCCCTCTCCTCTCTGATTCTTCCTTTCCTCTCCGTCAATCCCTCTGTATTTTCAGCATCGGATTGCCCATTGCGCCTGCATCCCGTTCCCTTAAGTGTTCTGCTAGAGCTCCTTCAAGGTAGGGAGGAGTAGCGCCTTTAACCCCCCCCCCCCTCCCCGCGCGTCGTTTCCTGTCAGTCACAGAGACCGAAATACCTCCGTGGGGCAGCTGGCTCCTCCGGTGGCATCGTTCCGCCATTAGTGCCACAAATACCCGCCACTGAGCCCGAGGCGTTCCCCCTGGCACATGTGGCACTGGGGTTAGGCACCCAGCTGGGCTCTCGGGGTCCAGATGCCGATGGGGGTAACGACGCGAAGGGTAGAGAGGCAAGGTCAGCTGGGACTAAACTTGGCCCTATGGACGCTGCCTTGTCACTTCTCCCACGCCGTGTGCTCTGGCAGCCGCTCGCTCTCTTCGTTTCTTTGCTTTTTTCTCTCTTCTAGTCTCTCGCTTTCGCTTCTCTTTTTTTGTTTTTTTTTTTCTCTCTGTTTCTCTTTTCTCCCTCACTCTCTCTGTTTCTCTTTTCTCTCTTACTCTCTCTCTCTCTGTGTTTTCTCTCTCTGTCTCTCTCTCTCTCTCTCTCTCTGTCTCTCTCTCTCTCTCTCTCTCTCTCTCTCTCTCTCTCTCTCTCTCTGTCTCTCTCTCTCTCTCTCTCTCTCTCTCTCTCTCTCTCTCTCTCTCTCTCTCTCTCTCTCTCTCTCTCTCTCTCTCTCTCTCTCTCTCTCTGTCTCCCTCCCTCTCCCTCTCCCCCCCCTCTCTCTCCCCCTCTCTCTCTCCCTCCCTCCTTCTCTCTCTCTCTCTTCCTCTCTCCCTCCCCCCCTCCCTCTCTCTCTCTCTCTCTCTCTCTCTCTCTATCTCTCTCTCTCTCTCCCTCCCTCCCTCCCTCCCTCCCTCCCTCCCTCCCTCCCTCCCGCCCTCTCTCTCTCTCCTCTCTCTCTCCCTCCCTCCCTCTCTCTCTCTCTCTCTCTCTCTCTCTCTCTCTCTCTCTCTCTCTCTCTCTCTCTCTCTCTCTCTCCCTCCCTCCCTCCCTCCCTCCCTCCCTCCCTCCCTCCCTCTCTCTCTCTCTCTCTCTCCTCATTTCCTCTCTCCTCTCTCCTCTCTTTCCCCAATTCCTCTCTCCTCCTTTTCTCTCCCTCCCCTCCCCTCCCCTCCATCTTCCCGTACCTTATCCCCCCCCCCCCTCCACCTCCCGACCCACTCCGGTAATTCACCCTCTCGCACCTCTCCCACGGAGTAGAACGCCGAGACTTTCGCTGCAGCCTCGAGCGGAGCAGAAACAACGAAAAAGTAACAGTAGGAGGCGGAGGAGCAAGTGTACCCATTTACCTCGCCGTCCGCCTCTCTCCTCACCGGACGTTCAGTTGTCAGGTGTCTAGTTCAGTTGGCGGAGATTTAACGGTGTTTGAAGCACGGCGACACCAACGGCGTGTTTGTTTAATCACTTATTTGTTTAGTCTTTCACTTGGTGGGTTTATTTAATCACTTGTTTGTTTGTTTATTCACTTGATTGGTTGGTTGTTTGTTTAT